ATATATATATATATGTATATACATATATATATATATATATATATATGCATGTATATATTTATACATATATATGTAAGCATATATACATATATAGTAATATCTAGTAAATGTTGAGAAACTTTATACATATAATAAGAAGAGTGTGTGTAATGCGAAAGAGAGATGTGCCAGCGCGTGTTCATAAACGTCGATAGCGTGAACGAACACGGGACATTGTTGTTTTCTCGTTGTTTGCGGCAAGAAGGGTATAATAGAAAAATTTGACGCGGTGTCGCCGAAACAGACTGAAAATTTGTACGATGGCGATGAACCTTTATACATACATAGAGAGATATATACATACATATTAACATACATATGCGCATACATGCGGACGGTAGGTTTAGATCCTTAAACATACTTTTACAAACGTAAGCGATCCATCACGTTTTTTTTATCTCTTTTTTTTACTTTTATTACCGCCACAATTGCTACGTTAATGTTGTTAATACCGGTAGGAGTACTGCTACTGTTTCTATCATTACTTACTACCTTTTTACTATCGAGACGCTGTAATTAAGAGATAGATGAAAGATTATGCTGCTAATTCTAAAGTTGACAGGGTGGAGGAAATAAATATATATATGTCGATATATATTGTTCCATCGACGAGATACTATTAAACATCATTGATCTTGAGTAAATTTTCATAACTGTCAATGGAGATCACGATTGCCATCTTTTCGATTTTCGGCTGGAGATTCCAGCTTTTTAGGCAAATCTCTGATTCTTTGGCAAATGGAAAAAAATCTCTGACTGATTACTCTATATTTTTCTTTGACTTTATTTGTTGACGTTCTTTTTACGAAGATGTAGTGCAGAGATGATGATAAGTGGGTCTTATAAGTCTTATAGGGTCTTATAAGTCTTATAAATACATAAATGAGAGAATGGAAATCAAAGGAATATTTACTAATAGAATTTACTAATAGAATAGCTATAATTTTGACAATCTTTTTTTTTAAAGAAAGCAACATTGTGTCCAATATTTCTATTAATTCTCCTTTTTCTTTTTAAAAATCAATCTATATACGGCGGAATACTAGATGACAATCGTGATAGAGATCCGGAAATCCGGAAGTGATAAAAGAATTTCGACACTATAAATTTTTCGACTGTCAATCGTCGACTCAAATATTTAAACAATTAGCTTATAATACAATATTAAATTTGTAATTTATTATTATACAGATGTTTCATAAATAATGCCTATCTGCGACGCAGTAACATTAAATACGTAGCCGAGAAATTGAAATTTTTTTCATAATTGTCACTTGTATCTACAGTCATATGTATGAGTAATAATAATAAAAGTAATAAATAATAGATAATAAATTCAATAATTTTAAATAAAAATTGAATATTGAGTCGTAGATGTATATACGCATTTCTGTGAAACGTCAAGATAATAATAATAACATGTAAAAATTAATAATGTATTATAAATTAATCTAAATTTTGACAATTACGGCTAATTTTCAAAAGATTGTTTTTAATCCTTTCGGCACGAAGGATAACTGTAGTCACCCGCTGTGAAATACTTACTGGACTAAGTCGAAGAATACGCAAAATCATTCTTATATCCTTAAAAATACATGAAATTCTCCGGCATACATTTAATAGTCATGTGCTATTAAATCCTTTATTATGCTCTACTAGTGAGAATTATTTTCAACTGAACTCTACCGTACCGAAAGGGTTGATAGTATCTTGTTCGTAATAGTACGCGATGAATACACAATGTGATTCGTATGATGCGACGTTTTCGAAAGGCTTGCACGCTACGATTCGAGACGAATGTGGCAGTGATGAAGAACTTCTTATCGTCGATTGTAGAATTTGTTGGTTTCTCCGATATGTCTCCACGATATTACTCGTTATGAGAATGGGGATCCAAAATTAATGAGCGGTGTAATATTTCATTATTTACTCTTTGTACATAGAGAATGTATGTATGCGTGCAGTATTGCGTGTGTTGTATAATATGTGAGAGAGAGAGAGAGGAAGCGAGAGAGATACCGCTTATGTATATATGGATGAAACTTCATTCTTATATATATAAATATTCGTAAACACACTTATATATGCGTATACATAATGATAATGGTAGTAATAATAACGACGCTAAGTATTATTATTCCAATTATTATTACTATTATTATCACATAATGATTACTCTAATTATTTTAATTTTTATTATTGCTCTTATTATATTATTATTATTATTTTCGCATGTACATTTTTAACGGACTGAATGAGACGCGCTGTATTTTTTGTACATGCACGCGAAAAAAATATATTACGCTCGCATTAAGATTATATAATTCGCGTGAATCCATTTCGTTAACACTGATATTGTAGTGTGTTGTTATACTCCTTTCCTCTCCCGAGTTACACAGTCACGGAAAGCCAGTGTTTGTTACAAATAAGATACATTAGATTAATAGATTACTGCAGTTATATACATGCGGAGGACATGTATCCATCTGCGATTGTAACGCATGTCAGCCAATCAGCGAGTAATAATATTGTAAGGATAGTGAACTGGACGACTCCCAGTGGCCAAGTAGGATCGCCGCACGTATGGTGAATCTCTAATTTTAATGAAGTTCAACAGACGAATATCGATGCATATCTCCACGCACGTACGAACGCGCGTTGTCTACAATCTCATTGCTGTTACGATCAATATCTTGCTTTCGCTTTTATTAGTCGGTATCGCCGATCTCTTTACGATAACGATAAATTAGTTAATCAGGAATGAACGTTTGGAATTCGCCGCATTCGCCAAAGGACCTCAATTCCGCGAGACGCGATCACGGAGTATCGTCCAGTACACCAATAAACGCAATATCCACCAAGTGTTCATTGAGTTTGTTAAACGAGGCGAGAAGAAGGCAAAGCGGGAAGAGAGGATTCGCGTAGGATGAGGATCATTGCTTCCTAATTATGTGAGGCTGCAAGAGGAATGCAAGAAACAAAGAAGAAAAAGAAAAATCGCAAGCGCAACGTCACCATGTGATATCGAGATGATCCGAGCTAGTTTAAGACATCGTTGAATGTTATGTAAAGCATGATTTAGAGCAGCTGCATATATTAGAAAATTGGCCGTAAATTTAAAAAATTATGAGGAAAATATAAATGACTTAATAGAAAATGTTTCTCATTTTGATCTATAGATGATCAAATTTTTTTCTCTAATTAATTTTTGCGATCAAAAGATCGTTAATCCAATCGCTTGGATTAATCGAAAATCCAACGGGACTAATTGCAGCGATCACGGTAATCTTAAACTGGCTCTGGCAACCATGTCACGTATCCGAGAGGAACAGCACGATGAAGCGAATGTATAAACAAAGATTTGGCTGTGTCAATGTAATAGCGTCTGTTGATTTCTCTGTCGTTTCTTCTTTTATATTTTTAACGTTCGAATCGAAACCTCTCGATGAAAATAAGGAAAATGAAAGGAAGAGTGAGAGTAAAATCCATGATAGAGTGAGATGTGTCGCGAATGAATTAAGAAAGAAAGATAAAGTGCGAAAGAGATAAAATAAAAGAGCGAAAGAGTATGCGGAAAAACGCTCATATGTTTATCGCACATTTAACGTTGAATGATGACTAAATCTCTAAGAATTATTAAGATCTTTAAGGATTATTAAGATAACAAGCTCGTTCTATATAAATAAAAATGTAACCGCATTTCACGTTAAATTTGGGATGAGATGAGTTTATTGAAAAAAAAAAGGCTGTTTCGAAGCCGTACGTCGTTAATTGATCGAGCGAAGGGTAGATGACATGCCTACAGCTCTACACACCCATTTTCTATTATCACGAATCAAGGTTACTTATTTTATTTTTATTCTCGAATATAAAAACTGTGAACAAATGCGAACAAAATCGAGCGAACGCAATATAACGAATATAACTGCTTTTTTAGATGGTTGTAACCATCTCTACAAATATTTCCCATAAGGATGCAGATGTGTATCGAAGATGCAAAAAAGTCTCTTTCCTTTACCACCTTCGACGCTATCATATGCAGAAAACGCACTTTTTGATCATGTAGACGTCTTTTCAAAATTTTGATATCCATATATATACAATTACTATACAATGTACACCACTGACTGTTAATAACCCGTACGACTGGATATTTGTATGCGTTTACAACTTTAGCAGCGAGCTCGAACAGTGTGATCAATTACTCACACTCGGAACCGTAAATTGCACAACTCATATTTTCTGCTGGATATCACAGTTGAACGAAACGCTCGGTCCCGTTGATACACGACTACGATCGGGACGAGCGTATTTAAACCGACGGAAATTAACATACGCACATTGGTGCACCATCATTTTTTCATGCGGACCAGAATAGATAATTGCAAGACAACCTAATGGTCAACTTCAATAATATAGCTGTTCGGAAAAGTGTACACCAATAGCGACAATTAGATTAGGAAGTATAACTATTCTTGCATAATGAAAATTTGATCATTTCAGGAATAAGTTGACGTATGTAATTCTTTTATTATTATTAATTAGAGTTTGGTAGAATTAAGACATTTTATTGAAATATTTTATCGAAATTGATTTGCAAATCATTCAAATATTTATTATATTAAAATATTTGAATTTTATAAACTAAACTTATATATATTCAATAAAGCTAACATTTAAAAAAATTTTAGTTAAGCTGAAATGCATTTTAGATTATTTAGGAATAAAGTGAAAATTTAATATATACATTATATGAAGAAGTTGCTACTGTTATACATTCTTTTAGAACATCTGTATACTCGTTTAGATAATGAAATATTATGAGAGTAAAAAGCACG